ACGAAATGTCTTGTCAGTTTCTTGAAAGTATGTCAGGAATGCTTTTTGCTAAAAATGCAACAAAATACAGAAGAAAAAGAGAGTTGCATCGATCCTTCGAAAAATATAGATGAGGCGGCCAAGCGGGCTACCTCAGTTGTTCAAATTTCACCATGATTATCAATGTAAATAACTGAAAATACAAACTTTTTTTGACGTCCGCTCTCAAAATTTGATGTTTCACTTTTAACACTAGTGCTATAAAGACTTTATGGCACTAGTGCGATAATAGTATATTATGCAATGATCATGTAATGATAGCCATTAATACACGAGCATGTTGTAGGATACGAAACGAGCCACAGGCGAGTTTCGTATATAACATGCGAGTGTATTAATGGCCATTACATGAGAGTTGCATACACTATTTTTTCTACTGCCATTGATAAAACTTGATGATATTTAGATATGTCAACATTATGCTTAACTTTGAATAGGGATTTTATAATTGGAGTAATGCGTCTATACAGTTGAAGGTTTCATTTTTTGTTGTAACTCTTCAAAATATACTATCAAAACATTTTCTGAGAAGGATGATGTATTTTTGGTGTTTCTCCAATCCATAAATTGTCCATATAATTTTTCGTAAATTTTCTTGGACTTGTCCGGTAGTATATTATTAACTGCATTTGTCGCCCTTTCTGTAATTTCTGGAGGTGAAAATTCTTCGTTATCGCTCAATATTTCCATAATAATGCCTTCTCCCAAACTTTAGGTATTAACTTTTAATAACAATTTGAAGTATTTTTTTATAAAATTATTGTTTTTCGCTAAATTACCATGGAAAAGCTATAAACAGAGTGCTGCCAACATTCAAAAAAAAAAAATTCAAATTTTTTTAAATGGTGGCGCCATCTATTGACAATGTATAATAATGAAGAAAGTAAAAATTCTTCCTTATCATTCTTGATTTCCATAATAATTATTCTTTGTCCCAAACTTAAGGTAACTTTTAAACAATTCGGAGTCTTTTTTTATAGTTATCAAAATAATTGTTTTACGCAAAATCACCGTTTAAAATGTTTAATATCTTAACTAGTGCTGCCATCTATCAACATTGTATAATATTAAAAATGAGTATTACAATGAAAATCTGTATCGTAATGAAGTTCATTATGATACAGATTTTAATCGTTTAATAGCGTATTATGAAATGTCAGTAGAAAAAGTAACATTTTTAATGCTTCGGGGCGGTGTTAAAAATTGCATTTTTAACACGTTTGTAGAAAAAAGGGTTTTTGAAACTGTTTCCTCGAAAAAAAGCCTTTAAACCAGGAAAGATGGCAACCACGTTATCAATGACAATGACACCAATCATAATCTTAAGGGCCCCACAGACTATGATGAAACACGTCGCACAGTGATGCGGATTTGAATTCTAGCGGGACAAAACCTCAGTAGCATTTTTTTTAGACTTCAATATCAAAAAATAGTATCCATATGTATTTTTGTAGCTTGCTTTGTTTTTTAGCTTTATGGGTTAGTGCAGAAAGGCGCACAGTAATAGATCATTTGTTGAATCTACCCGGACTGAAATGGTAAAATCGTTGGTTGTTATTTTGTTCATATAATATCGTACAACGTTTTTTTTTAAATTCACTGAAACTGCCAAAAAACATGGGTACATTTTTTGTGACCATAAACCTGCGGGTGTATTATTTAAATGACATGAAGAAATAAAAATGTATTTTATTCGATGATTTTATTCCATTTACATATAGAAAGTGGCAAAAAAGTCGCTTATAGTACCTGTAACGTTTTAGTTACTCGTATACGAAAAAGTGATCCTGATGAAAGTTGCTGTTTTTTATTTTTTTATTTTTTAACTAAGCAGTTGAAAATACGTGGAAATTAAAACTACAAAAAATTCATAGTTGTCTCACTATAGAAGAAAAGAGGACGTTCTATTTGAAAAAACAAAGTTGTTTTGGATGGCAACCAAGCCAAAAATGACACAAGACATATTTTATACAGGTAGAAATATAGGGAATAATGTACTGAGCAACTTTCATCAAGGTCACTTTTCTGTATACGAGGTAATTGAAAAGTAACAGGTAACAGAGGTATTATGCGCTCTGTATAATGTACCATGTACCACGTCACCAAAAGTAACTGGGACAGTATCATATTAGCTCTTGTACTATTATATGAATTTTATTGTCAAATATTTGTCAAACTATGAATTAAAAGCATTGAAATGAATGACGGAAGAATTAGTCCAGGAGATTATTCTGCAATATTTTTTTCCCAGAAACTTTTGGTGGCAATGATACCTAAAAGACTCTAGGATCCTATAGCAGTGATATATTGTTATAGTGTGCACATGATGAGCAGTTTCCACATCCAGCACGTTTAAATGTAAAAATTACAGGGACACTCATTTTTTTTTTTAATAAGGGAAATAATTGTTATTTATAATATTAGTATGTAAAATTATACTGAGTGTAAAGATTGTTGCCTTCCCACCTCATACATAAATTGGAATAGGAATGTTCTAGAACAATAATTTTAATAATGATATTGTGTTTTAACTGAATTTACTACCGATCTACAAAATTTTAGCCTTATCATACCCACAGGAACCCAACCCAAATAAACATAAATTTTTTGAGAGATTGAGAATTCTGGTATAGTACTTATATTGATAAAGTTTAAAACATGAACAAATAATAAATAAGAATTCATTCTATTTGGTTATAACGTTTCGTTTGTGAACGTTTGTGAAACACCACCATGGAAAATCAAAGGGAACTAATAAGACATCATATAATGAATCTGTTCGACGTTCATTTCAGACCGGCTTTGCAGCTTCTAACCCCAAGAACCGGTGCGAGACTCCTGAATTTTTTTTATTTTTTTTCAGTGGTGCGGCAACGTGCGGTAAAAAAAAATATGAGCATAGAAACTACAAATATTGTAGCATCAAAATTGCTCAATACTTGGTGGTAACTATTGGTAACTCAACAGATCTACTTCACCCAATATGGCGAGAATTGAAAAAAACGTGAAAGTTTGATATCTGTAGAACAAAGTCGCGGAGCTTTTTCGAGAATAAAATAACTACAGTATAAAAGTACTCACCTTTACCAATCTGCAACATAATTTGGTTTTTGAATAGAACGTATTCGTACTAATAAATTTTTATTTTCGTATGACTTCTGCCAAGCTGAGCAGAAAACGACCAAATTGGGTTGATATAAGCTTATCAAAATACAAAGAATATACAATCCATAACAATAATTGTTGAATTTTTATATCAATTAGAATGTCTACTATCTATTCTTATCAACAAACTTTTTTTACCTTGTTTCTAAAAAAATCGGTTTTGTCCCGCTAGAATTCAAATCCGCCGCACTGTGCGTCGCTCGTCGCTCCAAAACCGACGTGTGTGGTAGAAAACCGTCGTGTTTTGCTACCACACTCTCGCTATGACGTCACAAAACAATAATGCAAGAACAAGAAATTGCAAGAAATCTTGTTTGCAAGACAAGATTTTTTTCTGCAAGAGTCGGGCAAGACAAGAATGAATTTCATTTCTTGTCTTGCTTTGCAAGACAAGACAAGAATAGGCCCAGCAAGACAAGAAATCTTGTCTTGTGAAACACTACTCTAGTTATTAGACATTTATTAGACAAATTGACAAAAATGGATTTACGTGATACTTAGAGACTTCTCGAATAGGATGTTTTTGTATATACAGCACGCAGTTTGTAAGTGGTAGGGAAACCGGGTATAGAACGGGGTACCAGGGTAGAACGGGGTACCACATTCCAAATTTTTGCGGGTAAGTGCAACGCTGCCATATCGATATATATTCACAGAACTATATCCTAGGAATACGTTGGCAACAAATTTGATATTGTTGGTAGTCCTTCGAGAGCTGTTGCGCCAAATGCATCACTATAAGAAGATCCCATGTAAGAATTGACGAATTTGCGAACAACGATGAGTGTTTAATTTTACTAGCGTATCATTTTGTGCAGTATAGGGAGAAAGCCCTTCTATTAGGGTACCTTGTCTCCATAAAATGAAATTATTAGTTAAAACCCTCCAATTGTTTATTTAGTCATAATGGCGACGAATGCTCTTGGGGCAGAATGGGGAGAGGCAGAACGGGGTAAATCACGTCTCGCCCCACGTGTATGTTGAACTACTAAACTTCATTGTAGATGTTGTTTAATGATGTAAACTGTTTTAGATACATTGTAGATGGTAGCTATAGAACTTTCTTCGTATTAAACAACATTTAACCATTATCATCCTGAATAAATCAGTTTTTCTAGATGGTTCGAATATACGTAAGAAAAACGGAAAAACAATGGTCTTCGGAGTCAATGCATCAGTTAGGAGTTAGAGTTAGTGATCAATAAAGAGTGTTGAATAAGTTTTAAACGACTATTCTATGCTGCCTCACATGTACCCCAATGTACCCCATAAGGGCACAACGGGGAATTGTGCAGATTTTGTCATAAAAATAAATAGCAAAATACAGAAAAGGAAATGATGAAATATCTTTGTAATAATCATTAGAAATAACTTCGAATAAAGTTTCCAAGAAAAAGTTTGAGGATCTGTAGGTAAATTTAAAAAAAAAAAAAATTCAAACACTAAATACCCCGTTCTACCCCGGGTTCCCCTAACCCGGATCACATTTAAAACATGTTTATATTTTCTTGTGAAGCCGGGAGTTACGAGTTCATTCAAAATGACTAGATTATTATTCTCCATTCAATTAAGCGTATTACTCTTCTAACCTGATGAAATTAAGAAAAAACGGAAATACCTATCTCTTGTTCGGTGTTTAGAAAGACCTTAGAAAGTAAAACACAAAAAGGCTGATTTTCGCTTGCGCCCCGAATGAAATTGTCGTAATAGGTTTGTCTTTTCCGCCTCTATTATTTGTGGGTGCATTACTAGACCGAAGCGGAAGTTATTTCCGTACGAAGGGGCCTTATCCGAATATAACGCGAGACTATGTTGAGCCCAGCCCACCAAAACGCAATATTCGAATATTTGTTTTACTTTTACCGCCACCATCAAAGCATCACGACCACGCTCCGCTGCTTTCCCGTCCGTGTGTACGATAATATACAATTTTCTTTCGTTATTTTGGCCAGTTTTTCGTACACCGTTCTTGGTTATTGAACCACTGCAAGTCGCGGTGCTTTACCGGAGCGCAACGGACAATATATCCGCTCGTGAAGAAGTGATTTTTTTTTGTTGTCTATCTTTACGTATTATAGTGTGAGTGTGGAGCTGGAGATTCCTCAAAAAAGATTCTTGTTGTTTTTTTCATCATTTTGGTAAGTGTTTTTCAATATCTACCTACCTAATAAAGTCGAAGTTCAGAAGATTTGAATCGCAACATTCGCAACAGTACCAAGAGATTTGCTTGTAATGATTTTTTCATTTTTTTCGGAAATAATTGAAAGGTACCGGTAAGCGTGGTACGCAAAGCTCCAAAGCCTTTGAACCAATTAGAAATATACAGGGTGTATATTTTAAGTGTTACCACTATGGCTATATCCGAAACGGTAAGAGCTACAAGGTCGGTTAAATTAGAAAAAAGTTGCCTTTTTTGATGCTCATTCAAGACTTGTTTACAGTGTTGCCAAAGTCCTTTTAGTTTATGAAATACAGGGCGATTTATAAAAAAGGCCTAAAATTATTTCGTCAATTATTTTGAAAACTATTGATATTTGGGACACAATTTAAATTTGAAAGTTTTATAATTTTTTTCGCTCTACGACATGGCATCTTCAAATTTTAAATCCGACGTTTCGTGATCGAGATACCATCATCAACTTCATTTTTTTAAATACGGACCTGGATTTTTAATATCATTTTTGGAAAGAGGCTTAAGGGCGCTTCCTAAAAATGACAAAAAAAATCCAGGTCCGTATTTAAAAAAATGAAGTTGATGATGGTATTTCGATCACGAAACGTCGGATTTGAAATTTGAAGATGTCATGTTGTAGAGCGGAAAAAATAATAAAACTTTCAAATTTAAATTGTGTCTCAAAAATCAATAGTTTTCGAAATAAATGATGAAATATTTTTGGACGTTTCTTAGAAATCACCCTGTATTTCATAAACTAAAAGAAATTTGGCAACACTGTAAACGAGTCTTAAATGGGCATCAAACAAGGCAACTTTTTACTAATTTAACCGACCCTGTAGCTCTTACCGTTTCGGATATAGCAATAGTGGTATCACTTAAAATATACACCCTGTATACTTATTTAAGAGTCCCATATAGGTAGTGAACATACAATTTGGAAATTATAGGAAAGGTGAAACTAATAGATAGGGTTCCTAATTAAAAATTGGGTTACCCTTCAGTTTTCCAGTGAATGAAAGAGTGATATTTTAAAATAAATATCCCTTCATTGTTGCCACCTCGGTTGCCACTTATTCTGAAGTGGAAAATGGCGATGTCAAAACTTAATTCGGACGTTTCGTCTTTGAAGCACCATCTTCCTCTCAAATACCTACTGTAACTTATCAAAAAATTCCAAATGAAACAATGTTAGGCAAACAAGATATAGGTATTTGGAACTCCCTTATTAGAGTCAGGTTTCGCCATAAACCGGCCCTCTCGTGGAACACAGAATCCAGCATTCCGCCCCTATTCTTGAAACCAATAGGAAAATTGCTCCCTGAACAGCTCCCATATATTATTCTACTCCCACGTTATTCTCTCGGTTTTAAAAATACATATTCTTGAAAGGGAGTACCTCGGAGAGAATGAAAATAGTCCGATTTTTGTCTAATCTCAGCTTGGGAATTTTATATCTAATTTTCAATAAAAAATGAGCAAAAGAAAATTAGCAAACACCAGAAGGAAATGCTGCTGGACTTTTCATACAGAAGAACATTTTGTATACCGGAAAATTCACCCCTATACATTTACAAAGGCCGTGTGTCAATCCTTGTGGTCGAAGTAAGCGACAATCTTAAATAGTATACGAGAGGGGACCAATAAAAAAAAAGTTGCACAGATTTGTACTCCGATTATGTAAAGCGTCACTTTGAGAAGCAGAATCGTCAACATCAGCACTCTGAATTATTTATAATACCTATTATTCCAAATTAACATAAATTTGTTAACTACAATAATATAAACAGAAGTTCAAAAACCAACAACACGACACAACGGAATAAGGCACTAGCTGACGTCACACACATAACCTCGCAATGACATTTTTGTCCCCCTATCGAAAGTGATGTTATGTGATTTTTGACGTAACAACTAACGCCTAACGCCTGCGTCTAAAAATAAACCTTCAAACGCTTTGTTTGTCAGCTAATGCCTAATTAGGCAATCTACTGACCTGTCAAAAACGAAATTCAATATGGAAGTTCGGGTCAAGCACTGTGTTGTTTATTCTGTATGTCATTGATTCTGTCACATTTTGGACAAACTTCCAGATTTGAATTATCGGATTTTGTATTTTTTAGTGTGTTTAGGTATTGTGTTAATTAAAATGCCAGCGATTTGCATCATAATTGGGTGTGGAAGTCGAGGTAACAGGAAAAATGTGAAATTTTATTCAGTTCCTGCTATTTTAAATCATTGGCAACGCAGGGTTTTATGGATTGCTGCAATTAAAAGAAAGGATCTAACACAGGCTCGATTTTCCCCTAATAATAATACCTTAAAATATTCACTCTTCATCTCAGAATTTATTAATAAATTAAAAAATACGTAGAAACACTATGAACACTATAAATATCACTTTGAAAACAACAATAGGGTCAAAACACTAAAATACTTTGAAATACTAAAGACTATAAAATTCACTATGAAAACAACAATGACCAAAACCAATAAAAAATACGTAGAAACATCAAAGACTATAAAATTCACATCGAAAGCAACAAGGGCCTGAACACAAATGTGCACAAATGCTCTCCTTATGCACGTCACCGGCTTGTCACCCTTGTCACGGCAATATTTGACCCGAACGGCCATTATAAAATCACGTGATTGAGATTGCCTAATTGGAAAACAAACAAAAACAGATTTTGAAAAATAGACTGACAAGTTTATAATGCCCGTATTACATCTGTGTATTTTTCCGTGTATTTATTCATGTAGTTCAGGGTGACAACCGAAAAACTTCAAACGCGGCATAAATCGGCATTATGAAAAACCAAATAATGTTGGCACCCTCTGAACTGCATGAATGAATAAATACACGGATAAATACACAGATGTAATACGGGCATTTCGCAAATTTCACTCTCTTTCAAATTTCTCTCGCTTATGACTAATAGAATTTTCAACTCTCTTGAGGGAATAGGATTCCCACAATTTTCCATCAAAATCTTTCAAGAGTAGTGTCATTACTGCCATTTCACATTTTTGGAAGCCACGCCTACTTTCTTTCGTAATTTCTACTCCCTGGAATTCAAGAATAGGGACACAGCTAGTCAAATCTACAGTGGCTAAATAAACCTTTACATACAGTACAGTGGCGACAATAGAGGTCCCGCCGCCATTTTATTCCCAACCTCTTGTTACTTTTAAATATTAATATATAGGATTTAAATGGAAATCTATCATAAAAAATTGAAATCGACGTATTTGACGACTATTATTAGGTCCATCCATCAAATACCTACGTTGTTTTCCATGTTTTATGATGGATGTTCACCCAAGTCCCATATATTGATATTTGAAATAAGCAATAGGTGGGAACAAGATGGCCGCATTTTCATTATAATTATATGGGATTATAGAACCAATCAGGGACGGAGCCATGGGGGGGGTTGGGGGTTCCTGAAATATATCGAAAGTTGGGAAAACTTGGATAAAAAATTTAAAGTTGGGAAAAATTGGTCGACAAAAATTTGCGCACCCTATTTGCGAGGACTAATTAAAATTAACATACATTAGAATCGTGTCACGTGTCGTAATGAATTGCAAAATCACCGTACAGCAGGATGACGGAATCCCAATGGTCGGGGCGATCTCTTGCGTTGCACATTGCACTGCACTAGCACCACTAGCCTGTGGCAGTGGCACGTGGCATTCGTGACAGTAGTGGCTCTAGCGTCACTAGCACTATTCACTATTCGAGAGTCAAGACCGACGACCGACGTAGTTATATCTATAGCTTGTTGTTGCACGCGCGTCGTGTTTGAGAAAGATGGACAATATAGTATATTAGATAATCCAAACTTCTTATTACTTTCTGCGTTCTGCGCATTCTTCGCTCGCTATTCAGATTTCAGCAAAGCTCTGAATCCTGTGCTCTTATGTTGAAGAAATGTTTTTTTTCGAACATTTTTCTTATACACATTTTTATACATTGTTTATTTTATTGTGGTGGGGTAATGGCGCTTGTGAGAAATGATATTAAGTATAAAGTCTGTGATACCGAGTGCGTAAAGAACCACAGATCACCTAATACAGATGCGAAAGTACGTATACTTGTCGTGGACGATATTCTGTGACGAAGCCGGGCCGCCAGCTCCCCGACGCATAGATAAAGATCGCCCGCGTCAGGACAATTAACGTGGCCGAGTGCGTGAGCATGTTCCAGCCTGTGTATTTACATAATTTTTGCGGGTAGAAAAAAATATTTTTTTGCCGTTTGTGAACCAATTAAAGAAATAATATTAAATTATTGAGCTTCCGCATTTATACATATAATAAATATGTTCAAAATACATTGATGTGGCATTGGTGCGGCCAGCCTATGTCTATCAAATTAATCTTGAACCACGAATTCGCAGCTCTTTCGCATCTGTATAAGTAATCTGTGACAGAACTATGTTTGGTTATTGTCCCTAGAAATCGTCTCGAGCCGATCGAAATATTTGTTTACTGTTCTTTATCACCCTCCACAGACTGCGAATGCGCAGTTTTTGGATTATTTTTCTGGCTATTTGGATCAGATATCTGGATTTGATGGAACCAATGTTATAGTTGAAGATTTTAATTATGACATTTCAAAAAAGTCGTTTTACGGTGATAAGCTTTTAAAAATAATATATTCCAGTGGATTCAATCAGATTGTTAGCAGTCCAACACGAATAACTGACAGTAGTCAAACCCTTATTGACTATATTGTCTCTACAGAAAAAAACCTGTCACACAAAGTGCATTTGACACCCAAAATCAGCGATCATTGCATCCTAACTATTGATTTACAGCAATTGTCCAGAAATTCCACAATAAGTTCTTACAGAAGGTGAGTAAAGGAGCTATGACAGTTCGAGCACACTTTCACCCATTTTCCCATGTAAATCTCCATAAGAAAATCTAAGGTCCATTCTGGCAATTTTTGTACCG